CGTTAGGACCCACAGCCTCTGAGTGCTTCACAACCTCATGCTTACCCTTGCAGGCTCCCAAAGGCAGGCAAATGACCCTATTTACTGACGGGAAAGGGAAGGCCTAGAAACTACCAGAACACAAACTTTCCAGTTCCTTGTTTTCGATAGCGGAACCAGAACTGGTGATGGGTCCAAGCTAGAGACATGACATATGTCACCTGGGGCCTCCTCCAAAACAGTCTGTAATTTTTTTTTTCACCTGCCAGCTGTTCTTTATGCGCTCTGGTTATGTCCACGATAGCTGTGAAAGAAGCTCCACCAAGTGTGGCAGAGGAGCAGCGACTTCCTGCTGCTCAAGTGGGCTACGGTGCATTAGGGGCTGAGCTGTTCAACCCTATCTAAAAACCACAACGCTTCTGGGTCAGGTGCTTTCGGGTGATTTGGCAGAGTTAGGATTAGGCTGCCGCAGAACAGTGTTTCAAAGAGTGCAATGATGTGTGTGAGAAGCCAAACAAATCCAGATCTTTTCCAGAATTAGTCAAAGCTTCTCACCCAGGTTCATGTTGACAACATCCCACAGGAGGATGAAGAGTCTTCTACACCTCTCAGGTAAGGACTCATCAGGTTTATTCTTTAGCCCTTCTTAAGGCCTTAGCCAAGTATCTTACTATTTATCCTTATCATGAAAACATCTGACCACTGCTAGTTATTATTCTAACTCCTCTTTGTCCATTCTTCGTTTCGATATGCTGTTCTTCTCTCGAAGTTTCTGATTAAAGGGGGAAAATTTCCATTATATATTCTTGCCTTCAAGCAAAAATTATGCTATTTATTTTTCTCTTGACAGAAGTCTCATATTTGCAGTCCTTAAAAACAAAACAGAACAAAACCAAACCAAAAAGAGCACTCCAGAACAGAAAGCTTCACATGAAAACTCACACACAATTTCTACAAAATAAACTTCAGAGTCTGTAGTCAAATCCTACTAGCCATAAAACCAGAAAACCTCAGATTCATCATATGCTGTTGTTAAAAAATTATACCCACTCCAAAATGACGCAAGCTAAAAATCCTTACTCAACCAAGCCCATAAGAAAACAAGGATCGATATTTTTCACACCAAAAATTACAGACCTGTTAAAAAAAGATTGAAATTGCTATATGACATCTGCACTTTACTTCTAGAGACTGACAAAAGAGAACTTGGATGTTGAGGTTTCACCCGACCTCAGAGCAGACTGGGCAGTTTTTCCTGAAAGTTTCTTTCAAGCCTCTCTCTGAACAGAGCGGAGCTGCCTGGAGCTGGTATACAGTTTCCTCCCCGCCGGTGCAGGTGTTGCGCTCTTGTTGCATGGAAATGGAGTGAGGAGGCACACAGGGGACAGGCCAACAAGCATTACAGATTGAGGCAATGTTCTGTCCAGAATAACATGGACATAGGACAGAGATCTAAATGACAAGCTATGCCTATAGAGGTTCAAACTGTCCTGCGTGTCGGTGGAGCGTTTCTTCTCTCTCTCTCTCTCCTGGAAAACTTCGTAATATGTAGCGAAGGCATTTTTTTCAGTCTAAGCAGGCAGTCATTATGGCTAACATCAAGTCACCTTGTCACACAAAAAGCTACAATCTGTTTCAAGAAATAAGCACAATTATTTGCTTAAGATTCTTCGCCTTGGGAACAGCTTTGTTAATTTTAAAATGAAGCTTCACATGCTAATGACTGGTAGGAGAGGCCTTAATAGCAACCGAATTCTGTGAATGAACCTATTCTATTGTACATGCACCAAAAATAACCTGAAAATGACAAAGACGGGATATTAAATGTCATGTCTATTATATTTACCTGGAAAGGCGTCTTATTTGTGTTCCTTTTCTAGGCACACAAATCATCAGAGGCTCATTGTTAATCCAGTAAAAAGCAGTGTCAAGATTATTGCAAAGGACTGGACTGCTCTAAAGCTATTTATTCATTTTGTTTTCAATAAGAAGACCAAAGATTATTACAGTGAGGAAGGCTGCAAGCATACAGATATTCAGACTACCTGCTTTCGCCAAAATTGGGCTTGTTTTATCCTCAGCTACGTGAATGAAGGCTCTGTTCTAATAAGAGAGAGGATAGAGCCAAAGCCTACAATGCTACCATGGACATGTTTTGTCTAGGTTCCCTCAGGAGCTTTGCCAGACCTTGACTTTGTTTCCAGTTTCTCAAGGGTGGAGAAGTGATCTTCATCAAAACACATCTAACTGCAGTAAGACAGACAAGAGTTGTTAAGAATTCAGCAGCGGGACTGGGATCTAAGCGTCTTCTCTGCTCCCTGCTATGATCTAAGAAATTACTTTTTTAATATCAAAAAGACATTGTAGCTAAATCTTGCTGAAGCATAAAAGAACTCCACCTTGCACAGTGATTAAAATGTGGATGAAAATTAAAATTCAGTCCATCCACGCTGCTGCCACTACATGATATGCTACTAGAACATAATTTATATAAATAAGAGATGACCAAGGGTCCAGTCAGTGCGTTATGATAAAATCCACAAATAAGAAGCATCTGTTTCCTCTTATCTTTCTTGATGGCGACAGTTTTCTGTTCAAATCCAGGAAAAACCTTGAGTCTGTTATCCGATTTCCTTTCATCATCATTGGGTAATTTGCATTTTGGTAGATGACGCTGACTACTTGATTGCCTTTCGACGTCTACCATTATGCATTTCACCAGCTATTACAATCTAATAGTAGCAGCAGTTCTCAATTTCCTGATTGTCAGCCATTCGACACCCAAGCGACTAACATCATTGCTTTTTCTCATACTCGGCTGGTATTTTCAGAGCAACACAAGGCTCAGCGAGGACAATCACTCAACCTCCTTCACGATTTTAAAACAAAAAACATCTGCCACAAACAGCATAAGTAAGCCCTCAGCAGATAACAAGAAAATGGGAAACTAATCACTTCCCAAACGATATAGTAAGCAGAACAGCTGACGGAACATTTATCGCTTCTTCTCTGTGTACGTTAAAGAAGATTAGATGTAAGTATCTGTCAGAGTCCTTTAACAGCTTGCAAAGCCATCTTCTAAATTTGTGCTCTGGCCTTCGCTTCATGCATTAAATGGTGGTCAGTGAAACTATTTGCAAGAAGAAAACCAAATTAATTCTTCTCTAGCCCCAGAAGTTCTCTAAACTGGATCTTCTGCTGTGTTTTCACTATAGTGAGGATTTAATGGGCAATTAGAAGAACCTTTCCAAGTCCACAGGACTCAGACAACAAGGCTGCCCAGAGTCCCAAGGTCACCCTAATGACCAGGAACGAACACAGAAGCTTCCCATTCAGTTCCCATCTCACCCTGAAATATCTCACAGCCAAAGATCTTGAACAGGGCCAAAGCACAGCATGTGTGGTGGCAACACAAGGCCACAGCGCTGTGCGGCCTGCAGTTCCCTAGCTCCAGTAAGAAGTAAACATAGCTAGAGCAGAGCCATAAACCTGAGTTTCTTACAGGGAAAGTATTAACAAAATGTTGAAATTGTGAACTGAACTCAGGATGTGACTAACAAGTAACAGTAACAACATTCCAACATAATTAGTGTTTCTGAAACAGAGATATTGATTTGTTATTTGTTAGTTTACTCGGACTCGTACCCAGAAAGCCCACTGAAGTCAGCTAGGGTGTTACCACTGACCTGAATGACTTCTAGAGTAGGCACTGCTCATCACAGCATGTAAAGCGTGTTAGTAAAGTGGAGAGATTTAGAATGAAGTTATTTTTATTGACATAAAAGCTTCTTTTGGTCAAATATTAACAAAAAAATAGGTAAGGTTTTATATTCTATTCATACAACCTCTTCAGCCTATGCCTCTTCTTATGAGAATATCTTCTCAACGGCAGCTCAGGTGAGAAAGCAGCTC